AATAAAAGACGAAATTCCGTGTTTGATACTCTGATCAAAACACGCGGGATGTAGGGAGAGCACGAGAGAAGCGTAGGAAACCACTCCGCGTATAAAAGAATACGAAAATTGTAAAGAATTCTGAAATACGATATGTGGCTGTCGTCTATCTCTGCAAATCTCGAAGTAGCTTCTGCAGCTTCTGTAGCTTCTAAAACGTTTGATAGCTCTTCTTCTGGGATATCATCCCAGAGGACATCATAAATAGGCATTTCTTCGTTCATTGTTCTTGAAAATGAATGATAACAACAGCAAATGCAAACGGCGGGAAAAAAGAAATTTTTGACGCGTGCGAGCGTGTTTTGATACTGTAATCAAACATGGTTTTCGACCAATCACAGCGCGCGTAGTATCCTAAATATTTTAGAAAACTAGATCTTACGAATAGCAGCCAAGTCTTCATTTGATACTATATCCTTAATATATCTGCATTCATTTCTGTCAATACTCACGTGGTCGATAGACTTGTGCCGAGTCCTCCGAGATGTTAAGCTCTCTTTCAAGCTTTCCATCATCCTTATCCTTGTCAAACCACCMTCCACATGGAAATACCACATGTTGMCCYAGAGAAGGGACATTAATGATGACCTTATCCAAGAACCAYCCTGCAAAGCCCCCTTTATTGTCATGCCCTATTCTGATTTTCTTGACCTCACCGACCTTGGCGTCGATGTTGAAGACATCAGATTGGTTCCTTTCGAATTTGTTCTTGTTGGARTGTGAYGTCTTTAAAGGGATTTTMCCTAAAAGTGAATGAGAAAAAGGGATCAAAACAAYCTCCTTCACTGAGTGAGTGGACATAACATACGATAAAGTCCTTCAYAGAATGACCAACATAGTAAGTCAAACAATCTAAGGTAGCAGTTGTGGRGAGACTGAAACCCGAYGAATTGAATTACWAGAACTTAATCAATACAAAGAACACTGTCAGTTTATGCCAATGAAGYGACTCGAACCCAGATTACAATACAGCAAGACTGATCCAGTATCCACTTTCTGAAGGAAAARGACACATACCTGTATCGCCTTCTGTTCCATACAGCATAATGTACACGTTAGCATCAGTYCCWGCACCTCTGACGTCACCCGTTACCGTGGTTACCTCATAGGTCGTGGTTCGTGCRTTGCTCTCAAGATCAACGCCATCAACWATGGACACATCGCTYTCRTTTCGTTTCAGTGTTGATCTTCTCTTCATGGAACGCTGTCTTTCAAGCTTGAAGCCTTCTTGATCAACACCSACTAGTTCTCTACAGATTTGACCGTCATCRTCACTTGTCGCGAGCCATCTACCGCATGGAAAAYCAGTTGTCTTGCCAGCAAGTTTATCCTCTGTTTCAATACGGTCRAAGTTCCAAGCAGACTTCAAACCGCTGTTGTCATGACGGATTTTTGCTTTAGTTAGAGTACCAAGATTGATACATTGAATAGTAAAGATATCTTCCTGTAATACAATAAGAGAACATTACCATTCATTCAGCCGCGGATCTAAGGGCGTCGGCACTTGCAGTTACTAATACTTACATTGTTACGTTCAAATTTATCCAAATGAGTCTCTGATTTATCGAGTTTTCGTTCTCCAGAGTCACCAAGTTCACCATACAATGTAAGAAACACATTAGAGTTGGTTCCAGCACTKGAGACATCACCAGTGAACACATGGACACGGTACTCATTTTCTGTGAATAAAAACCGTAAGAAGTTGATAAAAAAAAATACTTAGATAATCCGCAATAATCAGAAACACAGTATCTTATGCAGATACTGATTTGTAGTACATAAGAATCTACTATAGTTTGAAAAAGAAAGCATAAAAATGTATGTAATGGACTATTTCAATTGTCAAAGATAGTACGGACATAGAAGCACTTATTCAAATTATACGAACCTYACAATGCATCATTTAATGGCCTCGTTCCCGTGCTGTCCATGGGTACCAGTTCTCTCATTGTTTGACCGTCGTCCTCGTCCTTCGCTAACCAGCGGTTACACACAAAAAGGTAGTCATAATGGATATCATCGTCTTTTTTCTTTTTGGATTTTTTTTCGTCTTCTGGTTTCACTCGRCTTATCTCAACCTGAAGAATGTATTACAATAATGTGATTTGATTATATCCACACACTACGCATACTCTGTCACGTAAACTATCACACAAACTGTATCAGAATTTTTTCTTAGACTATCCCACATGGGACAGAAGATGACATGTCATAAATGAACTAAAACCTGTTTACACTAGCAACGCATTGAGAAGCGAAGAAGTAAGCGCAAGATTTGAACTTTGGTTGTGTTTTGTCTTCACTAGCAAAATCAAACACAAATACAAGAAAAGGTGCAAGAACAAAGAACGGGACAAAGTTAATTTTAATTATCCACAGGGTTACCAAGGATAGTTGTGGGCAACTGACCTTGTCAAGGAACCAAGCGGAACCCATTTTTGAATTATCATGCCCAATGCGTATCTTAGTGAGTGGACCAATGTCTTCGCTCTCAACCTACATCAAACAACTGATAAGTACTTTTCAAGCATTAACATAACATAACATTGTAGGCTGGACTCTGAGGCTGGACTGTGGGGACATACAGTCAACTCTCGCTATTAAGGACACCCTTTGGAACCGTAATTCAGTGTCCACAGTAGTAGCGAGACTCCGTAATAACGAGAGTTACTTTCAGTCATTTCTTTGAGGTGTCCGTAAGGCGTGAGTTGTCTGTAATAGAATACGATTATTCATTGTTTCCCCGATGCTTTTCAATTATTTTGTGAATCTGTTGACTTTACCTTAAATTTGTCAACTTGATTTCTTTCAAAATTGTCTGACTTGTTTCTTAAACTAAATTCATCAGATTTGCCTTTCTCTCCYTACAATACTAAGATTACATTAGCATTGGTGCCAGCACCTCTCACATCACCAGTATGGATAACCACTTCATATGGAATTTCTAGGGAAAAATAATAGAAAATATGATTAATATTCTTGATAATTCAGGCACAGTATACTGTAAGTCACAATCCATGAATATAAGATCTCTTCTACACTGACGGGCTTTTTACTGTGTTAGTCTTGAGGAAACGATAAATTACAGGCATTAAACGCTATTTTCAGGCGCATAGCATAGACTTTTTGTCTAGTACGCACGTCAGAGACAGCGACACATATTTTGGATAGGTGGCTAGCGACCGCATAAAGGGGGTCTTGTCCTCCAGGAAATTTTGAAAAACAACTCTTGTAAAAACAATTTCCAACGTTTTGGGGGCATCAAGAGCATATAAAAGGCATCAAATCCCGAAAATGTTCCTTGCTACTAGTACGCACGCCCGTATATGCATAAAGGACACTACGCGCCTGATTTTATGACATACTTGAGCTTGTCTCTTGTATTTCAGTTGGGTACAAGTCTCGRTCAATCTTTCCATCATCCTCTTTCTCTGCTAGCCACCGATGACATGCAAACACAGCCCTCTCCCCACGGGATGGGATATCAACAATAACGTCTTCTAAAAACCACGCCGCTCCACCACCTTTGTTGTCATGACCAATGCATAACTTTTGGATCTGTAATGAGATTGGAAATAACATTTTATGTGAGAATACGTTTGGCAAATAATGAGAATGAATATAAATCAAAAAGAAATGGAAGGAGAACAAGAATAAGCTGGAAATAACAACGTAGATAAGATTGTAAATGCATCAGAAAGGGAATAAGATGAAATAATAAGTTTATGAACATAAAAAAGACGGGAATTTGATGATAATGARTATTATACAGTAAGAATTTGAGGTAAAGAAATTGAAAAACATYCAAGGAAAAGGTTTGCYATTACAAGAAGAAAGTYTGCTGAAGATTTCTGAATGTGTGTATCATCATTTATAATAATAGTCTACAACCAAAAGGAACCTAACCCATACCTTTCCAATATCCACGGCTTCRAGGGTAAACTGGTCRGTTCTTCCTCTCTCAAACTTGTTCTTTGTGTTATTGGCTTGCTTTAGGTTTAGTTTACCTGTGTCACCTTTGTCACCTTGTAATATGACGTACACATTGGCATCTGTYCCTGCACCAATCACATCACCCGTACGAACTGACACGTGATATGACGTAGCTGGAAAAATACATCAAAACATTAATTGTCTTGTTTGCGTTTTGTTTGTGTTTATGTTTCTGCTTATGTTTCTGTTTGTGTTTCTGTGCTGTGCTGTGCTGTGCTGTTATCGTCTATTCTTGTGTTTGATTTGACTTACTGTTAAGAAGACTGGCTTTCCCACAAAGTAGTTCACGTGTTGTCTGTCCATCGTCTTCATCTTTCGCAAGCCATCTAAAAACAATACCTTCCTAAGCATCCAGGAATACTTAACCATTCAATTATTTACTTTATATAGAATCAGTTCACAGAGAATCAGCAAATATTGTGTTAGGCCTCATAGGCACTTTAAACACCTTTGTGGACATCATCACAACCAACATTAACACAACCATCATCACTTATTGTTACCTTTCACATGGAAACTGATAAACCTTGGTGTCTTCTTCAGGGTCACTGATAACCACTTTATCAAGGTACCACGCTGATCCTGATCCGCTTCCATCATGTCCAATACGAATCTTTTTCAGTTTACCCAAAGAAACWGCCTCTACTTCAAATTCATCAGTCTGAAAAATTCAGATATTTGTATTTGTTATTAAAAAAAGATAGTGATTTATCAACAATGAATTTGTAATAATCCATACATCGGGAAAACATTGTTAAGGTCCTTTACACATGCGATTTTTGCAGAGCGATTCTCGCGCGACCATCGCCTGAGTTTCGAACATGCTTGAAAATTGACTGCAACTTTGCAGCGATTTTCCATCGCCGCAACAATCGCAGGGCTGTTTACACGTACGATTTTAGTTACGCAATAGCAAACTGGTGATTATCGCACTGCAAAAAACGCATGTTTAAACGGGCCTTTATGATCTTGTACTGAGTCAAGTTGGATCACCCCATCACCCGAGCAACAGGGCAAATTAGTATTCTTAGCCAGTAATGGACTGGATTTTCTAAGCTAAATAACTGTAACGATTCAATACTGAGCATAAATACATGATTCTTATATAAATGTGCTTACRTGGTTTCTCTCGAATTTATTGGTGTTATCCTTCGATGATTGAAGTGGTCTTACACCTGTGTCYCCCATCTCACCAAARATGGTAATGAATACGTCAGCATCGGTGCCAGCGCCTCGTTTATTACCAGTATGTACAAAGACCCGATATATATAGACTGGGGAAAAAGATTGACACCTGTCAATCATCTTAATGTATTCTTTGTCATTACCGTAGGAGTCACTTTTTGTCATCATCATCACTATTGTTATCATGATCATAATCTCAAAACGATATTTATTAATTCGTAATAGCAACACTTTCATCAATACCAAGTGTCTAGAAATAATCATGATATGTTCTACATTACCTGGTAATGGTTCAATATTTGGACCAGTTGCTGGAAACTCTCGAATAATTTGGTGGTCYTCTTCATCTTTTGAGAGCCAGCGATCACACTTGAAAGCATACTTAGCATTGCTTTTGGCATGGTGCATTTGGACCTAACAAATGAAAAAAGCTCTTGGAGATTTCTTTGGAGAAAAGCGTGCCACTGTAATCATAAGGGTGTACTTACCTTTTCTAGATGCCAGCCTGGAAATGCATTGCTGTTATCATGATGTATTCTCATTTTATAAGGCTTTCCTATCTTTGGAAGCTCAACCTGGAACACAAAAACAATGTCACCATACAAGTTAAGTACAATACAAATATTTCATCCTGGTAGAGTTTACTAGAAACTTTCATACTTTAAATTTGTCCATTTGGCCCTCTTCAAAGTTGTCAGTYCGATTTCCAAGAGGGATTTCTTCACTTTTACCATTTTTCCCATAAAATGTGACAAAGACATTGGCATCTGTGCCAGCACCACGTTTATCGCTCGTCCAAACACCAACATTCCATACTTCCTCTATACAGTAAACGAGAAGAAACGTTAAATATATAATGAAAAGGAAAGGTGGAAAAAAGAATTACAGTTAACTCTCTTTGAACGACCACTCTTTTAAATTTCCTGTTTTGTTCAATTTCCCATTATTAACTCTGTAAAAAAACTTTCTTGTAAGTGACCATCTCTCGTAAGCAAACACTTTTTCCTGATCCCGAGGTGGTCGCTTACGAGAGAGTTGACTGAGTGTATAACAATATGAAAAGGAAAAAGGAAACAGGAGAAAAAAGAATGGAGAAGTGGATTAGGAAAGAAAAAGAGGAGGAAGAACGGAAGGAAAATAAGAATGATGAGCTTACTTTCACCACGGATGATTCTCATGTCTTCAGATTCATACAAATCACGTTCYATAAGATTATCATCCTCATCATCTGCCAGCCATTTTTGACAYAGAAACACTTGTTGGTAACCACTGCTTGGACAATCAACAACAACCTGCGATGAATGGAACACAGCCAAGTTCATGAGAGCTGGATTAAGGCATCACTTCTTGATAAYATGGAGACAACTAAATACAAGTATAGCAGCTTAACAGTTACCTTTTCACAGTAAAATCCAGAGCCCAAGCCTGAATTATCATGGCCCAAAGTCAAATGATGCAAAGGACTTAGCAAGTTTGTTGTCTCCACTTTAAAAATGTCTGTGCGTCCACGCTTYAAGTTATCTTTATCACCATTATCAAGCCATATTTTTCCACTGTTTTCTTCTCCATCTTCACCTCCATGCATTATTACATATACACGGGCATCTGTACCYGCATTACGTATATCACCTGTTGTTATGGAGATTTCATATGGAATACCTAAAAAAAACATTTCAACATACAATGCATTATATAATAAACAGCAAGTTATGTAAATTGTACAAATGAATGAATAAGAAAAAAATAATCTTTATAAATCTAAATAGAAATGGGAATGAATGAAATGAAGGAATGAAAGAAAAGATGGATCAAATAAATTATTGAAAGAAATCAATAGGGACTGGAAGAGATGGCAAAGGTCAAATGGAATTATAGTCTTTTGAACCATTAAAATTAAATATTTTATAACATACCGGCATCAACAGCCATGTCATCTAATCCCTTTAATACCAATTCCCTTGTTATCTGTCCATCATCTTCAGTCCTTGATAGCCATCGACGGCACATAAAATCATACAGCTGACCAGTTTTAGAATCCTCTACAGTAACCTGAAATGAAAAGGACTTAGTGATTCTATGGGCTTCCTGTGTGTAAAAATAGAAATGGCAATCTGGGTTCTACTTGAAATATGACAAGACAGACAGGACTTTAAGTGAGTGAAGACGAATGAAGATTTGCAGCTAATGACCTTGTGGACAACTGGTTATCTACAGACACTCATTACAGACAGACACTCATTTTAGCTCTAATAACTAATTACAAACAATTTCATTTTTTTTAATTTCATCCCCAAGTTTAGCAAGTTGAATAAATGACTTTACCTTTTCCAGGAACCATCCAGGGCCAAGGCCAGAGTTATCATGACCAATGCGTATTTTGGTAAGATCCCCAAGATATGCCCCACTACTAACTTTGAAAGTGTCTTTCCTAAAAAGAAGAGAAACATCCCATTTTCATTCCCATTTATTCAATTTTCCCTTTCTTTCACTCTACTTACTTTGAACGTTCAAAYTTATTTCTGGCATTGTCAAGCTTATGTTCTCCAGAATCACCGTCATGTCCAAATATGGTCATAGTGACATTAGCATCAGTACCAGACCCTCGTTTGTCACCAGTATAAGTATGGACTAGATATATGAATTCTGAAATGATGAAAAATAACAAATCACTACATAAGCAGTACTTTTTTATGTTGACTAATTAAAAATTACCTTGACGTCCTGACTTTGGGTCAGTAGAAGCTGTTAAGTTTCTGGCAATTCGTCCATCACCTTCATCAGTTGCCAGCCATTGGTAGCATGGAAAATAGTACTTTTTATCTGGATTCTCGCGCTCATAAACGGTTATCTGGTCAAAGCATTCACAGCATATTAACAATTATAACTAATAGTATATTACTTTGAAGGTGTTATGTTCCAGAGAAATTATGTGCCACTAGGCATGAAGAAGTTAGATGAATTACCTGTATTACACTATTGCATATCATACATTATGCATGATARGTATACCATACAGTTTGAAGTTCATGAAGGTCAAAAGCAGTTGGCTTAAAAATTGTCAAAAACAATACTTACTTTATTAAGGTACCAGCCAGCAGAAAAACCAAAATTGTCATGCTCAACTCTGAAAATTTAAAAAAATTCTTGTAAGTAACAGTAGSRGCTGTATTGAACAAAGCATTGCAAGACAGGGTCTCAGTACATCACCATTGTTCAATAAKATTCATATGAACATATTGCACTCACATTAGCTTGGAGAGAGGCCCCAATTCAGTGATCTTGATTTTAAACACATCAGTCCTTTTTCTTTCAAATGTATCTTCATTCCTACTCAACAAAAAATTACAATATGGCAATTTTCATTAAATTATTTGATATTTTTAGACACTGTTAGTAGAATTGATTATGATGAGAAAATCATCATTTTTTGAAGTACAATCACACACAAGATTACCTGTTAATAAGCTGGGTTTTGGGAGTTTTTCCATTTTTACCAAACAAGGTAATAAATACATGGGCATCAGTGCCTGCACCAGCCTTGTCCCCAGTCTCCACCTCAATAACATAAACTACAAGATAACCAAACATTATTCAGGACAAGACATCAAAAAACTTGTTTTAAACTTGTAAACTTGTTCAAACCTGTTTATACCAGACTAAACTGTTATTCAATACCAGACTAACCTGTTCTTATTGSCTTCCTGTGAACAACTGCTTTCAGTTTTCTGCTAACAGCACAATCATGTTCATACAATGATAGCCATTGGTTACATGGAAATGACCATTTCTGCTCTGATCTATTGTTCAGTACAGTWACTTCCTCTAAGAACCAGCCTTGCTTTCTGTCTTTACCGTCATGCTGTAGAAGAAGCAGTCAATGTGGAAATATGACTTGATCCATTATTGCAGGATAACAATACATTAATGCAAACAGACACAAAGTATTGACATTGCTCAACCTGCAATATAACAGGTCACTCAGAGGGCATTATTATGACCCTACAGTGTAAGTACCTCACTTAAAATGTGCCTCATATCAATAATAATGTGCCTCATCCCTTGAATATCAMGGSCARTTCACAATTAAAATTAGGAGCTCACAGTYTGCTATGTACCTCAATAATAATGTGCCTCATCTCTCCAATATCAGGTCCTTTGATGTTAAACATGTCTTTTGCACCAGGTGAAAACTCAAAAGGTGGKAGTGTTGCAACAAATGCRGCAGGGACTCCAGCTTCTACTTGATGGGTTAGCTGACGACGGAATTTGCCATGAACACCACAAAACTCACAAAATACCTGGTGGGACAAATCATAAAATTGATGGCTTGCTTGTTAAATGAGTGACTTTATGATGGTGTTAGCAGTACCTTGGCATCTGTACCACAATTCCTCTTACTTCCAGTTTTGACCAACACTTTATATAACACATTGGCACCTGTATACCATACAAAATAATGCGTCATTCATATTCCAATTAATATGAATTTTGTACTAAACTACTTACCTTGTTTCTTCAGTTGACCACTTGCAGAGTACTTGACCTATTTTTAYGAATTGGACAAAAATAGACTTTTCAAGTAACAATATAATAGAATGGAAAAAAGTGTGAAGATTTCAAATATAATATAAATTAAGATCAAGTGCATGTACTGTGCCTTATAAATATGTATCGAACATCATATCATATCAGTCTTTTAGAGTGCAACACAAAAGCATGAAACAATTCTTAATAATCAACAACTAGTAAGCTTTAGTAGTTAGAGCGGATTTCGTATGAGTGGGACACCGTTACCGCACGGTTACCGCACGGTTACCGAACCTGGCCTGCAAAATTTTGGTGAACCAATGGGGCACTAGAATTTGGTTACAGTACGATTATGGTTACAGTACAGTACCGTCCGTTTCCCACTCATACCAAATCCGCTCTATCAATTAACTAAGAATTCACTGGGGCCTTACTGAATTCTTAATTAGTTTAAAACTAAATCTTTTTAGGTGTTAATTAGTTAAGAATTATTTCACACTTCTGTATCATGCAATCTAAAGCTTACCTTTCTTCTTGCAGGACTTTCTCCTTCACCACCAAAACCAAACTTCCTGGTAAAAAAGCCATTCAAATGAGGATCACTTAAGGAGTTGTAACCYGGAGAAGAAAACTCTCTTCCTGGAAATGTTGTAGAYCCACTAGTAGCCTTTGGCCTGGAAGCATATGGTGCCTTTCTACTGACAGAGCTTTCAAATGGCGAGTGATATAAACTGACGTTAAATTTCCTTCGTCGRTTAGWTTCTGGTGAGTTTGGGTTTCTCCATGGTGGTCTGGATGGTGGAGCTGMTTTGATAAAAATTATCTTGATTACTTGAATTTGAACTTTTTGAAGTTCACTCAAACTACAGATCCAATTTATCATTTTATTCCCCTTCTATTAATACAATTTGATGTACGATTAATATCTAAATTATAAAATAAAATCAACTTATATAAATTCTATMTTAATATCAAAAATAAGACGAAACAGCGACGTTTATTACAGAAAAACATGACTATTCTCATTGAGACACAAACAAAACTTGACATTATAATCGTGTATTTCTAGCTTTKGTACCTGAAATTGGTCGTGAAGGTCTTGTTTTTCTTGTCCTTAAACCAACTGCTGTTGAAGGTCGAGTTCTGTTCAGTAAATGCTGATCTTGTAATAGATTTTTTACTCCTTCGGAGCTCTGCATCTTGTATTGAAAGCGGTGTGTAACGTGGTACTATGTAGTAAGCTCAATGATGTTCGAAATATCAAGTGATTCAATTGTCAATGAAATCGAGTCACGCAAACCGTTCTTCATCTTATCAATTAATAAAAATGCTAAGAAATAGTTATAGACTTCTTCTCATCCAGATTTCGCAATATTTTTGTGAACTTTTGYTGTATTTTCAATGYAAACATTGATAGCCMTACTTTCTGCATTCAAAATGGTCGCCAATAAACAAAAGCCTCATAACCATGACGACAAAGGCAAYGCACAGTGGGGGAGGGGAGGGGCTGAAATTCMGTCTACGAAATTCGTCCWTTTTGCTTTTTRCCCCTTTTTTTGCTTTTCTTTTTCTTTCTTTCATTTTTAACATTATTTTAAATTTATTATTCTACTCTTCGCTGTAATCATCTATTAGTTTCTTTGTGATTCCTACAAGCTTTTTGCTTTGTTTTGCAAATGTATTACTCGGGCTACGCGGAAGTGGGGGCGTCAGACGGATAAATATTTACAAGCTTGGAAATTTCTAGTTTTATGTAAAGCTTGGAAAGGGACAATCTATTGTGCGTGTGTGCATGCTCAATTATGCCTTGTAAAGAAGATTATGATGTTGATGAGAGTGATGATGATGATGATGTAACTGATAATGCTGATAAGAAATGAAATCTGATTGGATTCAATACACCACAAGTAAGAATAAAAGGTAAATATATAAATGAATTAATGGAATATATAGCAAATATCTTCCACAGACACTAGACTAGCACGTACACATTATTAGTAGATGTTTAATAAGATCGTTCAGCTTCAATTTTTTTAACTGGTTTCTTATTAGTTCCGCGCACGACGACGAAAAGGTAATCAATTATAAATGACTCAGGAGATTTCAACGAACATTACAATTGGAGCACAATGTATATCTGGAAAATCTTTATCCATGAGAGTAATGATGGGAGAGCTTACATAGCTTTATCTTGSGATCATCTTAATACAAACACAGAAAAGGCGTGATTCTAAACATTGTTTACACAGACTAACAGATTAAAGATTAAAGTAAAAAATATTTTGAAGCCTTGGAAAAGATAATGTCAATTAAGTGACATAAAAATAATGGGTTAGSAGACATTATGAGTTATGTCGAGGAAAAAGATAAAAATAACATCACGTATGAATAAAGATGTGATGAGCGGTTGAGTAGTTCGAGTAACAGCAATAAGTGGTTGCTTGTTGTCCAACTCTCTTTCTCTCGCATCGCGTGATTTAAAGAAAAAGTTAGTGACTCGATGATAAATTGTGCGTTTCAGAARCTGAATAAGTATAATGATTGATGATCATGAATGACATTTTAAATGAATAAACGTAATTGTGAAAATCGGATGAATGAACGAAACGAACAAGTAAAAACTGAAAATACGCATGCTTTACAAAATCCCGATGTTCGGTGTTGAATCGTGATTGGTTGAAAATTGATCAGTTCAGTAAAGCAGTCAAAACCGTTAAAAATTTATCGAAGAATTAGATGAAATATATATTAAAAAATCTCTGGAAATAACAACACACATTTATTGATGAATTAAACAAAATAATGTTTTGGTCCAATATATAAATAGGCTTTTGTTGTTTTTTGCAGCTGTGTCCGTTGCGCTCCGTKTTCCTTCGCCATAATAAAGTCAAGCGGCTTTAGTCCTATCGTAGCAAATTAGAACGCGAGAATACCTATATCCAAGTAATGATTGTCGCTTCGTTTTACGAGGGGTTGAATATACTCATACAATACGCTCAAAAAAAAAAGAAAAAAATTAAATATCGCTAGAGACTATGTCGGTCCCTTTATTAAAAGTAATACTAAGCTCAAAATAGATAGTTATTTAATGATCATAACATACACGCCAACGTCATCCATTACTACATCTCTTAATGTACAGGAAAATTAATTGGTATTGATTAAGTACAATAATTAATCAAAGGTATTCGATAAAACAATATCTATGAAGGTTAATCTGAGTTGCGGTGTTTGCGCCCTTTTTGCGCTCTAATATGCGCCTTTATTTGACCGAATTATTTTCCGTCGTTTGCAGTGTTTTTCTAATATTCCTTCCTCTCAAGACTGAACAGCAATACTGAAATGTTACGAATTAAGGAAGAAGTCTTATAGAAATAGAGTTCGGTTTCCAAAGAGCGCAGATTCATAAAACTGCTCTATTTTTTTTTCTTTTTTGGTCTTTTTCCTTCATGAGATTGAAAAATATCTTTGAAAAAAACACTGCGAAAACAACCACAGCATACGACACCTCATAAAAGTATACGTTTGTTGTCAAAATTTAAACTCRCAGTTGGTTTATCACTGTTTAAATCCGCACTTTCTTTGTTTAAATTGTTTTACATAACAGGTGACGCACATGCATCCGATCAGTTTTTATTGATCTTTTTTAAAGTTAAATGCTACAATTTATAGAAGCAGAACTTTATTAAATTGTTTCTAGGCAAACATGTCAAAGTCAAAAATACTAAAATCTATGATTACAATTCTAGGCCGCTAAAGATAAGAACAGAGTCTGTTTTCTAGTAAGACAAAATGTCCGCTTGAATTTGCACAGTGTGCACTATAGTTAACTCTGATTGAATTTCTACCGCCATGTCCCTATTTTTTCGTAATAATCACAATATTACTTTATTAAGCAGCAAGAACATACTGCTATTTATCAAGAGAAGAAAAACAATATAGCCATGACGTCACTGTTGCGTAGCAACATTAAACGTTCTCTTCTACTCGAGAGGTTTTAATCTTTCTGCTCTAGCTGCCAAAATGTGTCATGTTTTGGAATTTTTTTAGTGTAATTATAAATTAATATACCTCAAAGGAAAAGTCAGTTAAACATTGAAACAATGTATATTTCATCACATGAACTTTTAGATTAAAATGGGCGATAATTGACTGCATTTTGGTGGTTTTTTTTCTTGGTCGTTTGTAGCATTTGCTTTTTGAATTAAAAAGGGTTGAAAATGACCACAAAGGYCGGTGGACTAATGTTATTGAGTCTTTTAAAAAAATCATGACTGTTAAATATACAAGGACAGGGTGAATAAAATGAATTGACACTCCCGGAAAATTTTTTTAACTAAATATATGATAAACCAAATGAATTTCAAACGTTTTTCTTTTTTTGTTTGTTTTTGTTTTCAAGATAAAATATTGATGCTCAAGCTTAAGGCTTTGAAGGCAACATACACGGACATGYRTCTAGAGTCACTATGCACTTAGAATTTATTTCCTTTAAAAGAATTACCTATTTTTTTGTCGATCTGACGGTGATATAGATTTTCAATAAAAGCGTACTAACTTTCAATATTACGTTTCAAAGCTACCGCAATAAAAGCACAATGGCTTCAAATCCGACCAATCAATTGTGCGACGCACAATTTTTGAAAACTAAATATTGAAAGCTAACATGTTAAGCTATTTTCATTAATTACGAGTTCCATATCAGTGTTTTTATGACTCTTCACCAGCGCGATTTTTTACTGTTCGTATTGTTCTTAATGATAAGAAAGAACAATGTCGGCAAAACGCCTGAAAACGCATCGATGGGAGGCCGAACTTCAATTTGTTGATAGAAAGAAGCTGTTATCATTCAAAATCTTTCTTTTATACAGAAATTCGCAMTTATTGCTTTCAATAATTTATTACCAATGTGGTATTGTTTTTGTTTTGCGTTGCTTTGCTTTGCAATGTCAGCTAGTTCAATGAGCATTCTGCGCGAGCTCAATTCAATGCAAAGGCAGTGTTATGCTTACAAGTGGAAATGAGTAATTTGAAGCCCCCCTAGGGCACGCGCTAGTCTTTCGTGTCTTGTCGAACTCATTTGTAGAGCTGCATGACGGCTGACATTCAAATCTGACACATTATAGAAAGTTTCGTATGAAAGCAGTAATGTTATATGGTAAATGCTTTCACTGATAATTTTCCTCAAACGTTTTGTAATCAATGCAACCTTGAATGAAAAGTGAATGATTTGAGTGTCCTTCTGTCTTACTTAAACATATCAGCTTGAGATCCGGTCGATTTTTGCACTTCTCTCGRTTAATCGTTTTCTAGTCTTGATTGTTTTTCGTTCACTTCCCTTAACTTGGAGTTTATTTTTAGATCTCAATAAATCTTTTCCGCGGCGCGACGTATGTGGAATTCATATTTTCTTATTTCGTTCAGTTATCCATTTTTTTCTCGTTATTCATAAATTGGAATCATTTATCTTTGTGTGTGTATTATATTTTGTGATTCGCAGTTTTCGTTCTTCCTTTGGATGGATTTTTACTTTAGTTGCTTTACATCCATTCTTTATATCAAATTAATCCATCTATCCCTTTCCCTTCTTTCTTATCCCGTTAGTTGTGCTGGTGTAGGCTAATTTAAGTCCATATTCCTTAAAGGAATTGCTGCAGGTTGATTCTCTTTGGGCGAGAACCTGGTATTCGAGGTATTGGTCTTTTTTCTCAACATGGAGTGTCGCATAGCTCTTCMGTACTGCTTCCCAAGAAAGCAGTATATGACAGGATGCAACGCCGATGTCAAAAAAACCAGYAACATAGACACAACATACAATTGATTTAGCACTTTGATGTATTTCAAAACGACTTCAATATTTGCAAAAGCCTCCCACATTGCAACGGAAAGAAGTGGCCCCCAAGAGATGGTGAAGAGAAGGACAATCACAACAAGAATCGTAACGGCCTTGCGTCTACGTTTCAGTTTACGTATGTTCATACGGATGGCTGTTTMGCTGCCTTCTGCTCGATGAATGGTCTTTTTTTGGATGGCTACAATAGTTGCGCAGTGAAGACAAGTCATTAGTAGTAAAGGCASAAAGAAGAATACCGTTCCATGTCCAACCAGGTATGATTTCTTGAATGACGAACTTGGCCATGCAAATACGCAATAATATTGTTCGCCCGATGCCCTGATATCTTTCAGAGTTGACACCGCAGCTGAGTCCACGATTGCAATCAACCACATCACGTAAACTGCGTAACGAAAGGAATCCCGATACACTCGAGACTGGAACGGAAAGCAGACGACCAGAAACTTTTCAATGCTTATGGTTAATAGAATAAGAATGGTAGCCACCATAGCTGCGTTTTGTAAAAAATGAACGAGCCTACACGTAAATAATCCAAAAATCCAGCTCCCTAAAAGATACATGTCGATAGTTTGCAGGGGAATCGAAAAYATGGTAATGAACAAGTCAGCAATACTTAGGTTCAGAATGGAGAAYTTTGTGCAGCTCTTGCCAAGCTTTTTGGATTTCACAATCGTGCAGCAAACGGTGAAATTACCAGCCAGGGACACCACAAAAATTCCAAAGTAGGCGATGGCAATACCTATTCTTTCGCCCTCGCTGAATTGGCATTTCACAATAAAGCAGGAGCTTTGCGCAAAGCCTGTCTGATTGGAAGCGTTAAGAGCCATGTRACGATATGATCGTGCACAAATACACTGCAACGAGGGAAATGCTCTTGCTAGTAAGCCGTGTGTCTCTTCACCTCTTGTGGAAGCCTTTTGTACTAAAGCACTGTCCTGAACACCAAGTCTTGTTTGCTATCCTTTCAATTTGAGATGACTTCCTATTCGGAAACAGGTGTAGTCAAGTTCAATAGACCTAAAAATAATGAAAAGATCGTGAAAATGCCGAGATCAAAACAGYCTCTAGGTTGTCTGTTGATGCCCTTTGAATTGCACTGATATGCGCTGCAGCGCTCTTCAAGCTGGTCAATCTTTCTGTCTCAATGGTGCCTGTATTATGAAGCCTCGTCAAGCCTGACCGTCAATATTTATAATTTAGTGATTTATGTTGGTAAATAGCAAGACCCCTTAMRGCGCATGCGTGCTGTTAAAAGATTTAAGATATGTAAACGATAATATCGGCGCTCGTGGTCACACTTGGAATACAAAATATCACGTTTTTTAGGTTTCGATGTGGGAGACTTKTAGTGAGTGATCACGATCTTTACTAGCAATCCTGCTGAGAAATTGCACYAATCGATTCTTAGTAAGRCCAAATTAAGTGCTGAGTTTCTCAAAAGAGAACCACTTTGACCACTGATACGTATACATCGAGCTGAGAAATACGTGTTTCAAGTGCGTCAAAGTGCATTCGCGCGTGGAAGTATTTTTTACAGCTCAAGCTATTATGGTATTAGACAGCTTGAGTCCTTAATATTATCGTCAAAAAAGCCGATTATTAATGAAAAAATTATCTGGCAAGTGTTGCTGAGTAATTGAACTAAAATTGAACTCATAAATTTTGAAGTAATGAGACGGGGCCCGAATATAGCAAAGTTACTCTGAATTGCACGCGCGGTTAGAACTGAAGGAATATTCCAGCTATTTTAGAGCCTGAAGCAGAAAATGTCAGTATTCTACTAAACGTTTACTTATAAAGCCCTTGTGGGAAGTAGTTTACTTACGTGGTTTTAAAGAATCGTACGTGTAAGCTCTTAGAAACAATCCAACTGTTTTCTTTTTCTATTACCGTTCAACAATCCAAACGAATCATAGTTATTACACGTGATAATCAGTGTTATTTCCCGTCATATTATGTCAAAAACCTTTTATCGAAACTCATCATATCTCCTTAATCTTATGCGGAAAGTTAGAGCAGTATAGTTTGGCTCCAAGTGGAAGTTAGAAAATTAACCTAACTGCTACTTAACACCTCGCTTAAAAAGGATTAAAAAACTTTCACGAAAAAAAACACATTTTGAGGATTAAAAAATCAGAATRCAATCAATATAATGCAWTGTCATGAATTAGTCATAAGATTTTCTTTTTATTTGAGTGTTTTGTGTTTATGAAGTTTCGTTTCTTTAAACTTCCGTTCTATTAAGAAAATCTCCGTGGAGCTACCATGCAGCGAACGTGGTGCGCCGTGAAGCTAATGACCTATATTAGCGTTTTTTAATAAACTTGAAAATATACAAAAAAAAGGTTTAGCAATTGCCCTAAGAAGAAACCTTTTAAAATTGCGACAGCGCAGTGTGAGAAAACATTGCAAATAATTGGTGTTTTTTGAGTAACATCCGAAAAATCCTCAGGCCTGGAGAGCAGACACATCAATACACAGGTACCCCAAAGAATAAATTGTATAGTTCCTAAAAGACTTAGAAATATACGAGGACTTMGCACTTATGAAGTGCATTAAACTCAAATCCAAAAAGAAAGAAGTTGCGCCGTGTATGACAGCTAGTCCGAAGTTCCAGTCGATGAATGCTTGAAGCCGCCGCGATATTCATTACCGGCGGAAAGCAACGTTAAGATGAACAACATGGTTGAGAGGATACTAGAAAAATCGTTTATTATTAAAAAATGGAACGTACTTGCAGTCAAGAGATGATAGGTTTAGGTYATATTAAAATATAAGAAGAAAAAAGTAAAATAAAAGAAATTGATTAGAAATGAAATTATAACGTGAAAAGTATAAAAACGTTTGTTTAAGAAAATGATAAAACAATATGTTTAAAAGTATAGTATAAAATAATATACTATATAGTATAGTATAAGATACTTGTCAGCGTCAATTTGAACACAGCATTACTAGTAACTATTTGCGCCATTGGACCATTGTCATTTAAACAATTATAGGCCACTTGACCTTATATATGTTTCATAGTTTCTTAGCTAGTGGGTTAATCACAAATGGTCTAGGGACCGATTAAGTTCTCCCTGACTGGGTTTTTAGTTAGCACGAAGTTAGGATCAATAATCGGGATAACATGGAAGAACCCGAGAAACCTCTAACCGGAAAGTAAGTCCATTTGACACATTCACACAGAATCTCTCGGAGGACTCGTCCCATACTTTTTCGAGTGTTTGCCTCATATGGTTAGAATCCCAGCAGACATTTTTATTCTTTTTTTATATAAATTTGTTCTGTGTTTTACGTTTGTAGCAAGAAAACGTAGATAAACAGCCGAAAAACGTCTCTAATTCGGATAAGCCATCGCAAAGTGGTAATAATATCTCTTTTCACGGTCGAAGTTCGTGGTTTTAGGATGAGCACATCGCCCGTGCATTCGCGCGCACTTTATTAATATTATTGTTTGGAATACTGGAAGTATTTTTTACAGTTCGTCCCATTATGCCGTATTAGACAAGTTGTGTCTTCATTATTATCGTCAAAAAGCCGATTATTAACGAAAAGAATATCTGGCAAGTGCTACTGAGTAATTGAACTAAATTGAACTCGTAGACGGAATGTATCAAGAAAAAAGAATATCTAATTCGCATAATCCATCGCAAAGTGGTAATAATTTTTTTACACGGTACAAGCTCGCAATTTTAGAATGACCGCATCGTCAAAGTGCATTCGCGGCCAGTTAAGTAATTATCATTTTTTTTACTGGAAATATTTTTTTACGTACACTTCGCAACATCAAGGTATTAGAAGTTCGCAGTTTTAGAATAAGCACATCGTCATTGAAAGCGACTACGCTCCTAGGGGGATTATAGTGCGATTCGATCTTCTTAACCAAACACTTATATTAAATCATATGTACTTGTAATTCATTTAGTGAAGATGGCATGAAATTGCCGAAATATGTTATGTCTTAAAAATGCTGATGTGTTTTTATAGCGCTAATGGTATAAAAATGAACTGGAAGTTAAAAAACATTGAAAGAGTTATGTAAACCGCTAAAAATATACACCAGCCYGGACTGCAGACAAATGAATACCGAATCTCCYCTGTACGCGATGAAATCGCATTACTTCCWAGAGCGAACACTAAGGGAASATTTTACCGATTTTAAATGGATATCTCGCAAAAATTACATAAGTAAAAAAAAWTMMTMYWTT